GCCATTGTGGGGGAAGTTGCACCCTTATCTTAAGGGCATTTGTTCTTGTCTTTGGGACATAGTAAATATTTAAAGCAGATGTACAATGCATGCTCAACGGCCACATCAGGCCCTTTTGGAAAAACAAGGTCAGGCTGAATTAGCTTTACACCAAATGGCCTCCTCATATACTCCAATATATCCTACCGATTGCCATTTATTTATCACTGTGAAACAAGGAATTGATAAGTAACATTTTTGGCAGCTGGGGAAAAAAAACAGGTGTGCAGAGCCCAGGGTCAGAGGACCAAGGTCACCTGTGGCCTATCCATCAACCCTCTCCCCACCCCACGCCCTTCCTCATTCAAGAACCATCCCCCCATGCCATGGGTGGTGTCGCCCTCTGGTGGAGGAGATGGGCATTTGCATAACCCGCTCAGTGAAGTGCACGTGTTCAGCTGTCAGTGGGTCCCAGCTGGGTTAGCTCAGGCCTCATCATCTTTCCTTGAGCACCGCTGTCATGTCCTTGTTGTCAGATCCCCTCCAATCTCTCTCTTACACTGACTACCAGAGGCTCTTTCTAAAATGCCACAATCCTGACTGTGTCCTGCCCCTATTCAAACTCCTCAGTGCCTCCCCCAGAGGATTACGACCAATGCCTTGAAGACACTCTAAGAAGCTTTACAGGCTGGTCCCCATCCACCTCTCCAGAAGTCTCTCTAGCTCTTCCCTCACAGGCCTGTGGAATTCCCTGGCATGACACGCTTGTTCCTGCCTCTGCAATGCCCTTCCTGAACTTTTTTTTTTTTGCCTTGTATAAACTCCTGTTCAGACCTCAAGACTCAGCCCTGATGTCCCTCCCCAGGCTAAGTAAAGTCCCTTCTTCTCTCTGCTCCCCCTGCTCCTCTCCCCGTCATAGGACATGTCACTCTGTGTCATAATTTACGTGTTTGTCTCCAGCGCCAGAAGAAGAGTCCCTCAGGTTCTCATTGTCTTAATCCTCCCTGCCCCCCGTGGTGAGTGTTCAGCACACATTTGTGAAGACGTGATCCGATGGGGTTAGGGGAGTGGGGGGGGGTGCCTGGCCTCAGGGATCAGATGGACTCCAGGAGAGCCTTGGCTCTACCATGGCCCAGCTCTGTGGCCTTGGACAAAGGTGCCTCTTTTTGAGCCCAGTGTCCCCATCTACGAAGTGGGGACAACGATGCCCCCTCAGCGTTGCTGCAAGATCACACAGGATGTAGCTCGTGTCAAGCGGTTGGTGGCTTTCTGGAAGTCTAGGATTCCGAGTCAGGGACCCCAACTTTTTTGCAGGGGGCTTTCTTCTGCGACCTGGTGCTCATCTACCTCATCAAAAAGAGCCACTTTTACCGCAACAAGAAGTACGAGGATGTGAGGTCAGTTATTCGTCCTCTCCAGCAGCTGAGGGCAGCCCTGTGGAGCCCCTGGGTCAGCCTCCCCCTTCCTGACTTAGAGTCTTTACCCTGGTTTGATGTGGGCGTTTGGAGAGTAGAGGCAGGGCTGAGCCCCGGGAGCTCCCGTGGGAGGGCAGGGGAAGGTGGAACGTTCTGAGCATATGCTCTGTAGGACTGGATTGCGCCTCAGAGCCGCTGGCAGAAGAAAACGCCACCACAGGCCATGGGCGGGAGACCCGGTTTCTAGGCCCGGCTCTGCCACTGTCTCCCTAGGTGACTTTGGACAAGTCCCAGGCCTATTTGGGCCTCAGTTTCTGTCTCTGTGAAACAGGAGAGTTAGTTTACATATGGTGCCTTCCAGCACTTATGTTTTAGGATTCTTAGACTTGGTGGTCCTGTGGCCTAAGATTGAGGGAAGCTGGAGTGGGAAGGGAAGGAAGAAAGGGATTTTTTTCCACCATGGGGGCCTATTTCCAGGCTCTATCGGGCTGTGGGTTTGGTAGGGAGTGTGTGTGTTCAGAGCGGCAGAACACAGCGTGAGTGGGCAATCCTGATGTCTGTGGGCGGACAGGGAGGGGGAAGGGGCTCTGGCCCAGCCGTTGGGGGAGGCTTTCTGGAGGGGCTGGGATCAGAATGAATTGCAGATGGTGGGCTCGGAACAGGCACCTGGCACTCCCTCAGCCCCACCACAGCCTGGGACAGCGGGTGGAGGGTCAGCCTGCGTCACTGGTCTGGACTGAACCGCAGCCCTGGTTCTTAGGCCGAGCCCTGAGCCCTGAGCCCTGATCGTGGTCGCAGACTGAGCCCTGACGGCCCTGCCGGCCCACTGAGCTGCCGGAGGAGGAGGGCGCCCCCTGCAGGGCGAGTGGCTCTCAGGGCCGGCCCCGCCAGTCCCGGGGGAGGCGCCGGGCTCCGCAGGCCAGGGTTAACGGTCGTGTCCTGCCCAGGGACCTAGAGTTCCGTCCCGGGTCGGCGGAGTCCTCGCGGCAGGGCGGGGCCCCGGAGGCTGAGGACGCGGTGGGGCCGGGGCTGTCGGAGCTGCCCGAGGCGCAGGACGGAGGCTGCGGCCCGAAGGAGAACGGCTGCGTATGCCGGCAGCTCCTCGAGCCCTCCAGGTGAGGGGCTGCCAGGTGAGGGCCTGCCCAGCAGAGGGCCGAGAACGACCCCGCAGAGATGGCCCCACCGGCGCTGTGCTCCCTGCTCTTGGGGTGGCCTGGCCACAAGGGCGGCCAGGACCCCGGACTCCATCCAAGCTGGACTCCGGGGGGAGGGGGTGCGGGGGGTGCCTTAGCCCCTCCCTGGCCCCCATTAGCTCCTCAGTACCCCTAAGTAACGGCAAACCAGTCTGCTTGCTGTGCTATCCCGGCGTTTGACAATAACCGGACTCTCTTTTACTCAGGCTTACTCTCTGCCCGGCACTGCGCTGAGCTCTGTATATATTAACTCATTTCAGCAACTTACTGAGGTGGACACTAATATTCCTTATTCTACTAATGAGGAAACTGAGGCACAGAAAGGTTAAGTAACTTGCTCAAGTCACACAGCTAATAGATGGCAGAGCTGGGATTTGAACCCAGGTGGTGTGTCTCGGGAATCCAGTGCTTCTCCATCAGGTTATTCTGCCTTCTCAAGTCTCCCATCCCCCACCCACATCAGATGACTTCCCTAAGCCCCTCTTCCGTGTGGAAATTCTGGAGCTGCTCTGGCTCAGGAGGGTGGTGGCTGTGCTGACAGGTGGCCTACAGGCTGCCTTTCCCTGGGGTGCTGCCCAGAAGCCCTGGGCAGCCTGGCCGTTTCTGCAGAGATGACAGCCTGGGGCTAGGAGGGAGCCCTGGGCTGAGGCAGGCCACCTCTCAGGCCTGCTCTGCTTCTGCCTCGCTGTGTGCCCTTGAACAGGTGCCTGGCTCTTTCTGGGCATTTCCCCCTCCCCCCTTTTTCCACTGGGGGCTGGACACAGGGACATCTCGTGCTCAGTCAGGCTAGGGTTCTGTGTGTCTCCTCTTGTTAACCACGTCCCAGGAGTTCACTGGACTGGGGTGGACTGTCCTCCGGCCCCCAGCTTTCATTCCTTGCTGACTGGGGATTGGCAGCCTCTGGCAGGGAGCTGGGCCTAGGCAGGGAAGGAGTGAGAAATGGACTGGAATGGAGGAAAGGTGAAGAATGGCGAGGAGAGAGGAAAGAAAGACGAGAGGCTGGGGGCTGCAGTGGTGGGGGCAAGGAAGCAGTGGAGGCTGGGGATCTGCTAGCAGGGGTAGGCCAGGCGCCCAGCAGCTCCCCCATGCTCCCTGAGCTGTCACTTCCTGAGCTCCTCAGCCTGCAAGAGGGAAGAATGGCCTCCCTGCTGGTCTTGGCACAGCCTTGCCTGTCGCTGTGGGAGGCTCAGGGTGCCAATGTGGTGGCTGCTGCTGCTCATTGCTGGGGCAGCTCCAGAGGCCTCGGCCTGAGCATCTTCATGTGTCTGGGCTGTGGCCAGGGACCCTGAGACTGCCCCTCTCTGTGAATGTTCTGACTGCCTGCAGTGCTGCCAGCGGGAGGCTGCTGCGGGTGACTATGCCTTTAGGGAGGCGTCCCTGTCCCCCGTGTTCCCAACCGTCCTCTGTGCCTCTGCCCACCCATCCACAGGTCTGGCCCCCTGGGCAATGGAAAGGTGAACATGGAGCAGCTGCAGAACCTGCAGACAGTGGAGGCATAGCCAGAGGTATTGGCAGAGCGCAGATTTGGTGAAGACCTTGGGGGCAGAACCGCCTGCAGCTCTGAACTGGGAAGAGTCGTCTTTGCGTCTGCATGGGACAGGGGCTTCCAGGCACAGTCATCTCCTGCACTTTGGGATCTTGCTACAAGCTTTTTGCTGTTGCGTGTGGGGAGGGGAGCCTCCCAGTGGCCAGAGTGGCTCAGATGGAGAAAAGGAGGCCCTGGAGAGGGAAGGGAGGCCGGCCAGGGGCCTAGAGTGTTTTCATTTTTTCTGAGAACCTAGTTGGACATTCATGCATTCTTACATGCAGTAAACATTTTTTGCTGTGTGCTGGGCCCAATCCAAGAGATGCTTAAGTGAGACGCTGACCTGGCCTTCAGGGAGGGGAGCACATTGTAATTCTCTCCAGAGCCAGCAGACGTCACTGCCAGGCTCAGCCACTCCGGCCTTCCTCCAGCCTCTAGCTGAGACTTTCACGAATCCCTCTAGAGAATGAGGGCTCCTCAGAGGAAGACCTTGGCCAACATCCAAGGGGATGTTTGCCTTTGCCCCCAGGGGTCAAATTTAAAGGTGGCCAAGGAGGCAACCAGGAAAGGACTGGAGGGATGAGGCAGCCTCTGAGGGCTTCTAGGTAAGGTGGGGAAGGGGAGGCAGGGAGGCCTCTGCTCGTCTGACCACCCAGCCTTGGGAAGCTCTGGGCATAGTGTTGTGTCCAGATGGGAGATCATCTGCCTGTGTAGTCTGGCTCTTGCAGTTCTGTGGGGCTGGGTGTCCCTGCCCAGCTTCCCTCTCTCTCTCCTCAAAGGCTGGGTCTGAAGGGCTAATGAGAATGGATGGCACTCACTCAGCAGGTGGAAGCAGTTGTTGTTAGGGGGGCCAAAACTGTTAGGGAGGCCCTCACTCCCTCACCCCTGCCCCTCCTTCCCCACCCCCACCCTGCAGAACTCTGCTGCTTCCCTCCCTTAGTGGCTGTAGAGCTTGCTACTCAAAGTGTGGTCTGTGGACCAGCAGCATGGGCATCACCTGGGAGCTTGATATAAATGCAGTCTCTGGCCCCGTCCTCATCCTCCTAAATCAGAACCTGCATTTCAGCAAGATTCCCAGGTCATCCGTGTGTATGTTCAAGTTTGAGAAGCCCTGGTTGAGAAGATCTGCAAAGCCTGGTTCTGAAGGAGGAAAAGGCCAGCTTTGGTGGTGGCGCCAATTTGTAGGTCAGACTTACACACATTCTACCTCGAGACCGAGGGGTCCCAGCCACCCCCCTCGCCACCTCCCACCCCTGGGAAAGTGGCATTATGCTTAATTTGTTTAAAGTATTTTCACTAGATAATACTTATACGATTCAAAAATTTAAAAGGTACAAGAGAATAGAGTGACAAGCTTCCCTCCCACCCCTGTTCCCCAAGGCACCTTACGTTACCAGTTCCAAGACGCTCCCTTGTTATGCTGAGAAGCCACTTGGTCATTCATGCCCTCACTCAGTAAATGAGCTTTTCCTGCTGCCTGTGACGTCAGACCTCGTCTCCTCTGACAGAAAGGGACTCAATAAAATACGCTTGAATACTGGGTTGGGGAGCTGGCCTGCTCACTTCTTCCTCTCCCAGAGTCTGAGGAGCCCGTGTATAAACCCAAGGGGAGAGACTAGAACTCATCACTCACTGGGTCTGAACTGCTTGGCAGCAAAGGCCCACAGTGCTGCCCCTCGCCCAGCAAGCCGCCATGCTGTTTGCGCAGCCGCCCACACACCCACACATGAGGGTGCATCCTCTGTGAAGGGCTCTCTCTGGGCATCCCTCGAGTCAGGGAAGCCTGGTTCCCCTCTGCGCACAGGGGAGCCGGTGAGCATCCTTCCACTGGGGCCTTTGGAGAGGGTCAGAAGGGGCCTGAAAGAGGAGCCTCTCGGGCGAGGCTCCGCCACTGGGGCAGAGGGGAGTGGTCCCCAGAACAGGAACCCTTCTAGAGCAAGCAGCTTCCTCACCTTGGGCTGCCTGGTAATCTGTCAACAAGCCCACCAGCTCTCTGAATGGAAAGATCTGGGTGATCCACTATGGTATCTCACTTCCTCACTATTGCAGCAAACCCTTGGATTTGATAATCTAGCATGTTACTTTTATGTTTGGGAGGAAGTAAAAAGGGCAGGGGTCATGGCTGCTTAGAATTTGGGCTGGTTTCTTTTACCCTGTTTTTGGAATTGCTTTGCAGCAGCCCTATAACCTGGAGACAGCTGTACTGTTGGTTTTATATTGGACTGAAAATGTCTTCCTATAGTATTCATTCAGTAAATATTTATTGAGTACCTGTTGTGTCAGGTGTGGGACTAAATGCTGGTGACACAGTGGCAAGCAACACAAACAGTCCCTGCCTGAGCGCTTACAGTCTTTGTCCTTAGTGCCCTGGAGTTGATGCCATCTCCTAGCGACCCTGTGTTCAGCAGAGTGGAACCCTGCCCCGTCTTTCTGCGCCATCCTCTCACCTTCTGGCGCTCTATCAGACAATGCTCCGCTGCGATTCACAGGGTTTTCATGGCCAATTTTTTCGGAAGTGGGTGGCCAGGTCTTTCTTCCTAGTTGGTCTTAGTCTGGAAGCCCTGCTTTTACCTGTCCACCAGGAGTGACCCTGCTGGTATCTGAAATACTGGTGAGTGCTGACTCTTAACCACCAGACCATCAGGGCTGGCTGCTTACAATCTAGGAGGGCTGAATCTTCATCAGTGGTCATGCATGTAATCAAAGACTGAATTGAGTTTTCAATGAGGAGTAGCCAGAGGTTTCCCCAAGGAAGTGACATATAAGCTGACATCTGCAAGATTAGTAGCAATCTAACTAGGTGACGGGGAAGCATTCTAGCTAAGGGAACCACACATGTAAAAGAAAGCCTTGATGTGAGCAGGAGCAACAGGGGAACTGGATGGAGACAGTGTGACTGGAGCTGGTTTTGTGAGGTTTTCTTTTCAACTTTCTTTAAGAGTTGCCCCATTAAGCCTTACTGCCATAAAGGACTTAACCTAATTGTTTCTTCAAATCCAGCAATGCTTTCCAGGTGGCCTCCCTACTGCATGTCAGGGGCCCCCATTACAGCTTCTGGATAGTGTTGTAGACTGCCAAAGTTTCCTTGCTTTTGCACAGCCCCCCACTTCCTCCCTCTTTTTTTTGGCATAATCTTGGTGCATGAATGGGAGGCTCAATAATCTTATAGAGACTAGCTCCTTTCAAACTTGGGAAAGCCCCTTTCTCTCGGGGTGCCCAATGCCTCATCAGGAAGATGAGCATGCCAGCCTCTCAACGGCTTCTGTCCATGCTGTCCAGGATCATGTGTGTGATCAGGCCCTGGCCTAAAGCCATCTATCTAGTATTTTCCTAATGACTGAGTTATTCCATGCCTTGGGAGTCCTCTGATGCCGGCCCATGCGCAGTTTGTAAACTGGGTGCTATCAATGTGATGTCACAGGACCAGCCATGAAGAAGCAAAGTGCCCTCTTCTCCTGATGCAGGGGTCATCAGGACTGACCAGTCACAGCTGCCTTTTTGCCCCTGCTGCCCCATCAGTTCTTCCTTCTCAGTGGCTGGCTGCCCCACTGGGGGACCAGTCATTAAGGAGGAACGTGACTTCCTCCAGGCGTATCTAAGCACCCCAGCTAAGGAGTGCAGTGCCCTGGAGTCACTAAATCAGCCCACTTGGAATGGCATCTTACGTGTCTGGAAAAGGGCTCCATTGGGTTCCAACCTGCCCCCTTCCACCCAAGTGATGCAACTTTCCTCGAATATACTCTCCAGCGGACCCATGAACGCTCTCTCCACAGGATACACCTTTCTTCCAGCTGCTTGTTTCCCCTTAGGCCAGTACACAGAATTAAAGGGAGAAGAGGGCAAACATTTTCTGGGACCTGTCCAATATATGTATTCTCTGACATTTTTATTTGGTTATAAAACAGTAAAAGGTGTCAACTTTAAATGTGTCCTGATTTTTTTCCCTTTTTGTTTTCATGGTCACCCCATGTTTTAGAGGAAAATGTAAGGAGAAAGTGAGACCAAAAGAGGCAGACACAGAAACAATTAGTGAGTGGTAGATTACATTCCTTATTATCTTGCAAAGAAATTCAAATAAAAGGAAACTCTTTAAGTGACCAAACATTAAGACTAGGAAGGCACTGATAAAACTGGTACTTTTCATTCAATGAGTGTAATCTGATAAAACTCTGGAAAGCATTTGGAATCAAGTTTTTATCTTCTCCTCTAGGAGCTTATTAAATTCTCTCATAATGATATGGATGTGAAGACATTCATTGCAATATTTTTTATAATAGTGAATATTTCACAATATTTTTTATAATAGTGAATATTTCAAACAAACTTACTGCCCAACAATAGAGGAATGGTTAAGTACATCAGCTCCCTTATCCTCCACTCTACCCCCCCCGTAGGACCCACTCTGCTTCCTTCTTACTCTGCCATCAGGAATGAACCCTCCCTTCCCACTCAGAGAAGTCCCCTAGAGAGGACTGGGGGAGGTTGGGAGAGGGGGGTTTGTGCAACCCATGAATGTGAGCATCTTCAGTGGCGGTCAGAGAAAGGGTTCAGAGGAGGTCATTGGGAGAGGGGGGCAAAGTTGTGGCCTGAGCTGCTGCTTGGCTTCATGTGCAAGCATGTGGTCCAGAACCTAAAACGGGATTCAGGAGGCTTGGGTCACAGATCCGTTTCTGTTACTGGTCATGGGCCACCTACTGTCTGTAAAAGGAGACTTGGATTCAAGCCCTCAGATCCCCTTCTGATCTAAAACTGATTCTTTGCATGTGCTTTCTTGCAAATGCCCCCTTCTCCACACTTTAGTTGGCTGTTATTTAACCTCTGGGTCTCAGATGTAACGTTCTTTCCACCAAGAAGCCTTTCTTGACCCCCACCCCTCAACCTGGGCTGGGTTTGGGGCTCCTATGTACTCTCTTCATAGCACTTACCATCATTTAAATATCTGTGAAATTAGGTAATGCTAGTCTTCCCAGTTAGACTATAAATTCCACAAGCAACATGTTCATTACTGTAACTCTACTGCAATGTTTATTTCTCAATTAAATGTATGCATTTTATTCTAAGATAACCCTCCTGACAAGAGATCACAAATTAGCATTAACCAGAAGCATTTAACACTCTAGATAAGCCCAAAGTTTAGCTTAAACATCCAGTTTGTTTAATCTTCATTAGACAAATTCCAGAAAAGAGCTTGAATTTATTTTTTTAATGGAAACAAGAACTAGCTGTAACTAGGTGAAAGAGAACTGAAATGACACCACTCATACCTGAAAGCAGTGGGAGGGAAGGCTGGGCTCTGAAAAGGTACACTCAGCCAAGACAGTAAGATCAATTAAGAGAACTGCATTTGAATCCTGGCTCTGCCTTTTCCTAGCTGTGCCTCCTATGGAAGAAGTAATTAACCTCTCTGAGCCTCAGGTTCATGAATGGGGGATACTAATCACATCTACTCCATAAGGATATTGCTAGAATTAAATGAGATAATGGGAGTAAAAGGTACAAGGCACAATGCCTGGCATATAGGGAACACTTAATACTATTAACTGTTCTTAGTCCTTAGAATGCTAACAATTAAGTTCTCTCCTTATTTAGGCCCTAGTGGACCCTCTCTGGACGGCCTTTGTGTAAATGCCAGGAAATTCCACAAGGCGAAGGCCCAGTCCCAGCTCTCCAGGAATCAAAACTAGGCGATTCTGCACCCATGGCAGACAGGGAGTATGCGTTAACGTAGGAAAAAACTTCACAAGGTGTCTGACGCTTCATTTAATCTGAAGAATGTTACAGGCTCTTCGTCTTCAGATATAAATTACTTATAACGTTACAGAACAAGCAGCGAATTCAACAATTTAAAAACTAAATGTACCCGGTGTTAATTTCTGGCAACAGTCCCCCTAATCTGGTTTTTTAAAAAAGTCGTCCCCGCCCCCCGCTTCAGTAGACGTGCACCATGCCATACAGGAAAGTCCAGAACAGGACGTAGGTGAAGAGGCCTCCGATGAGACCTCCCGTAAAGAGAGGTCTTCGTGACTTAAAATATTTGTTCCACCTTCTTCCCGCTTTGAGAATTAACAGCAGGGAGAGCAGGACGGAGGCGAGCAGGTAGAAGATGAAGCCGTAGAGGCCGGTGAGGCCGAGGATGCCGGCCGTGGCCCCCGACAACGCGGACACCGAGGTCCGGCAGTAATCCAGGACGGCCGCATTGCCCCGCACCGCTGCCTCGCTGATGAACGGCGGCCCCTCCCGCTTGGCCACCACAGCGGCCATCGCACCGCCGGGGCTCGGCCTCTGCCTTCTCGCGGAACGACGCGGAGCTGCGGAGGAAACCAAGTTACAGGCGGCGCCCGGCTCGGCGACTTCGGTCACGCCGCCCCTCCCCCTGGGGCTGCCGAGACCTCGCACTGCTCCTGGGTCTCGGACCTTCAAGAAACGCTGCGAAGGCTGAGGGTTCGGCCAGCCGGAAGGGCGGCGGCGCGTCTGCACTCCCCGCCCAGGCTCGCCCAGTTACCTGGAACACGGCGGAGGACACAGGCAGTTGACGCTCCCTCAGAAAGCCTGGGGTAGAGATTCCCGCGGCGCCATCTCGCGCTGGAGGCTGCTGGGAGGGGCCACGCCGCGCATGCGCTAAGACCTCCCGCCCACCCCGATGGCGCATGCGCCGCGGGAGCCCCAAGCACGCTCCACCCCACTCCCCGCCTTTCTACGCACGCGCCGGGACTTCGACAGCGGAACAGCGCTCCGGCCGACGACTGGCTGGGGATGTGCTAACTATTCATGAGGGGGCGGACCAAACCCGGCTGCCTTTGTTAACCAGAGAGGGCGCGGCCGCCGGGATTATCGCTGCGGGCTTCACCGAGCGCTGCTTGCTTCCGAGATTGGGGTCGAGATGTCCTACATCCCGGGCCAGCCGGTCACCGCCGTGGTGGTGAGTGCGCTCGCGCGGACTCCTCCTCGTCTTGGCTTGGCCCCACTTTGCAGAGCAGTAAACTGACACCCCAAACAGGTTGACAAAGCGTCGAACCCTGGGATCCTGCAACCCCGCGGCCAGGGCTCCGGTCCCCGCTCTGCCGGAGCGGTGCCGTGGTCCCCGCAGCCGTGCAACAGAGAAGGCTGGGACCCGAGAGTCTCTTGAGACTCGGATCGGGGCCAGAGCCCGCGCACTGCCGCCGCCGCACTGACTCCTTTCGGCGGCCAGGGCGGGGAGGACTGCGGAGAAGAGCCCCGGCTGTGAGGGTCCGGGAAAGCCCGGGCCTGTGTCTCCAGCTGGGCAGCCGCAGGGGGCGGGCGCCGGCCCCGACGTCCATGAGTCGCAGCCTCTGGAATGAGGAAGTGCTTCCTCCGCTCCAGCCGGCGCCGCCGCCCAGAGGGAGATTTAGGGGGTGGAGAAGGCCGGGGCCTGCGTAGCAGCTCCTCACCCCTCCTCCCTTCCAGCCTTGCTTCCTCGGACCCACCGCCGCTCGGTCCAGAGTGAAGGCTCTTACACTAGGCTGGATCCTGCTTGAAGTTTCTCTGGATCCCCAGCCCTTGGAGCAAAGTCCAAGTCCCCTGCCTGGCTCCCCCCTTGGCTTGTTTTGGGTGCCAAGTGCCATTAGAATAGGCAAAGGGAGGGAAGGTCGCCCGAACATTAGACCCAGACACCAGTGCCACACTGGATGGCGCCTGGACGCCAACGTCATGGCGGAGGTGGGGAAACTGAGTCCCAGAGAGCTGTGGTCATGCCCAACCATAAACGAAGCCCTCAGGAAGGACCCAGACCTCTGAGAAGAAATGCCTGCTGGGCATGCAATGGGTCAGGTGGAAGTCCCAGCCCTGGGGCCATGGGACTGTCTGCACTATCTCAGATGGGTGTGCTGGCACACTCCTGCAGTCAGGCGGTGGCATGAAGCCACTGATTAAGGTGGCATATGAGGGTGAGCTCAGAGCACCAGCTCAGGCCTGGGTGGGAGGAAACGCTGCTGACTGCTGTCCTAAGCTTCATCCTGGCTGTGCCAGCCTAGCTTTTCCAGATCTCTAGCTGTCCCAGAGAGAAGGGGTTAGGTTTGTTCATTAGCTAGAAAAAGGGGTGCATCTGAGGGGCAGTAACCTGCCTGACCTCACCCAGCAAGTCAGTGACAGGGCCTCCTGTCCTAGCCCGAGGGCCTGTATTCTTTTTGACCTTGAGGGTGGGGCAAAGGTGTATGTTGGAGGAGGTGGAGGAGGCCTGGAGGAGCTTGCACTTGGCATGAGGACCGAGGTCCACTGGGCCTCAGGGGTCCTGCTTTCTGCTCCTCCTCTCATGTCATGGCTGGTCCCTGGGCCTTCCTCAAAGCGATAGGACCATGACCTCCCAATTCTTCTAACACTAGGAACATGTCTGAACATGGTGGGTGGGGTCTGGCCTCTCCCTCTAGTGTTTTAGATGGGGGATGAGGGGTGGGGAGGCTTCATACCTAGTCCCTGCCCTCTCCCATGTAGTTAACATTTTGATAATGTTAAAACCATTTTGGCCTCTCTGAACTCTGGCTCTACGTGTCCGTCTGCCTTCTGGGCACCTGCCTGGACGGCTCCTTCCCCTCTAGGGTCCCCATCTGAGGGATGGCTGTGTTCAGCCAGGCCAGGTGGCTGGGTGCTCCCCTTGACTCCTCTCTGCCACGAGCAGTCTCCAAGTCTGTTGACCTCACCTTCTAAGTAGTTCATGTCCCCTGACCTCCACATCCCACTTCTGTGAGACATCTGTTCCCTACTGACTGCCTGAGTGGTCATTCTAGCATCAGACCTGACCATGACCAGCCTTACTCCCCAACTCCTGAAAACTTCAGTGGGCAGCCCAGAATCAAGGTCAGGTGGCCAAACTGCTGGTCACCCCCTCAGGGCCTGGTGCCAATGTTCTCTCTCCTTTGTGAAGCCCTTCAGGTCCAGATCAAGTCACCTTTGGCTTTGTTCTTTTCTTCTTCCTGTTAAACCTCTCAACTTTTGGGGTGGGGTGATCTGGTCTGGCTCACAGCATCTGGTGACTAGAGGGTGCCTGCTGAGGGCTTTGAAAGGAACCTGGCACAGCTGAGGACCACAGCCCCTGAGTATGGCAGGAGAGCCCTAGGACCCGCCTCCGCCTCCTACACTGCCCAAGAGCAGGGCCTGTGGCTTAGGGAGATCCCCCCTCCCTCAGGGCCAGTCTCGTGGGCTTGCACTCCACAGCCTTCCTGATGGGGCCCCAGCCTCATACTTTCAACCTTAGCTCACCTCCCAGTTCTGGTCCTACACTGTACACTCCGGTCTCACAGACATGTATGTACAGCACCTTCAAGCCTCTCTTGGCCAACACAGCCCTTCCTCTCCTTTCTGTACAAGTTTGATCTTCTCCACTTTTCCGGAGCATCTCCTATCTTGCCCTTGACAGGGCTGGCTCAGCAATCTGAGCTGCCTCGCCAGGGTGCTTGCACTTTTTTTCAGGGCCTGATCCCTCCTGCCCTGTGTGGTCCCTCCCCTAGTACAGCAGCCACAGCACCCTGGCTCTTGGGCCAGAGGGGCTTAGAGCATGTGTTGACTAAGGCTGTTGCCTGAGACTAACAGAGGAAGGGGGAGAGGTTGGGACAGAGGGCCGCGTGGGTTGATATGGCTGAGTTCTGAGTCTCCACCCCCCAGTCTCCCAGGCTGGTGACCAGCTGGATTCCTGCAAAGGGCCCTAGGCCTCACCCCCTTGACATGGCTTAGAGCTGGCCAAGTGGCCTGAGGCTGCTGCTGGGGACACAGACCAGATTCACTCTCCACACACCCACTTACCCCCAACTCGTTTATCTCTTTGCCAGCAAAGAGTTGAAATTCACAAGCTGCGTCAAGGTGAGAACTTAATCCTGGGCTTCAGCATTGGAGGTGGAATTGACCAGGATCCCTCCCAGAATCCTTTCTCGGAAGACAAGACGGATAAGGTAAGGGGGACCAGGGTCCTGGGACCTCTCCGTGGGACACAGAGGTCTGAGATGGGGGGGTCTCTGCTTCCTGGGCCTTTCTGGAAGAAACAGATCTTATCTCTCTCAAACAGTCCTCTCTCAGGTCCGTGAATGATCTCGTGGGAATAAGGAGGGGTGAGAGTGGGGAGTGGGCTCCCAGCCCTATGCAGGCCTACTCAGACAGAGCCCAGGAGGCTGCCAGCAGCAGGGGCTGGAGCATTCGCGGGCAACCGTGCTTTCCCCTTGGCTGTCTTGGCACAGCCTGTGCTGGGGAGGCTCAGTGCAGGGACAGACGGATGCGTGGGAGTATGCCACGCTGGGCTTTGCTCTCTGAATAAGGGGCTGGTCCAGTGACCCCAGGACTTGACCTAGCCTCTCTCTTTCCAGGGTATTTACGTCACACGGGTATCCGAAGGAGGCCCTGCTGAAATTGCTGGGCTGCAGATAGGAGATAAGATCATGCAGGTAACAGATGTCCCAGAGGAGGAAACAAGGCTTGGGCGAGAGGGTCTGAAGCCCTGGGCGGGGTAGGGGGGCTGCTGAGACTCACCAAAGCTGTTTTGGAGCTCATGCTGGTGTTGCCCCCAGAGGAAGCTGGCTCTCTCCTCTGTATGCCTTGTCTGTGGTGCTTGGTGTCCCCCAGCCTGGGGACATCAGCTTGGGGGTCTGCTGGCTGACCCAGGCCCCCCAAAGCCCATCCTCTTCTAGATCCCAGAAAGTGGGGAGCTGAGGGGGCCTCTGTTTTCTCCTTGGGCCAGGTGAACGGCTGGGACATGACCATGGTCACGCACGACCAGGCGCGGAAGCGGCTCACCAAGCGCTCGGAGGAGGTGGTACGCCTGCTGGTGACGCGGCAGTCGCTGCAGAAGGCAGTGCAGCAGTCTATGCTGTCCTAGCAGCCCGCTGGGCCCTGACGCTCGCCTGCGCCTCTCTGGACAGTGACCCACTTCCACGCTCTGCCTGCCCCTTGTCCTGGCTTCTGCTGAGTGCTGGGCCCAGCTCAGAGGGCAGGAGCTGGTCCCACAGACCTATCCCTGGGACCTGACCCAGCCTTCCTACCCCTCTCCTACCACTGGCCTGAGGCTCTGGGACCAGCTCTCTCCCTTGGACATTGCTGATTGGAAATGGGCCTGGAGCTGAGTCACAGTCAGTCTAGTGACCACAGGCCCAGCCCCCAGAACCTGCTGCCTGGCCTCAGCAGTGCCCAGGCGAGCAGGGGCCCCACTTCCTGAGAGCTGCCACAAAGCTGGAAAATGCCAGGTGGGGTGGCCTTTCCCACACTTTGCCCTGGCTGCAGGGCTTGGCCCTGCCCCGTGTCTCAGCTCTGCAGTGCCTGTGCCTGTGTACTTCCCTGCACTGCCCCGCGGGGACTTGACACCCTGCCAGAGGCACTGCAGAGGTTCGCCCGGATGGAAGCCAGGCAGGCTCACAATTCACTGGCTCGCACCCCCATTCCCCCGAGGGGTGCTCGCCTCCCCAGGGTTCATTTGCTTACAGGATTTAGATGAGGTTCGAGGCCGACATTTCAGGGCAGTTCTCAGGATTGCCATTTTCCTCTATGCCTGTGGGTTTAACTTTTATATTTTTTTAATCACAACTTTGATACAAAGCGTTTTTATCTTACTATTTGGATATCCCAATTCTACTTCTGAATTTAGCTCACTAATTCACATCTGGGAACGACTCTTAGCAAGTGAACAAGCCTTACTTTGGTTACTGTGGAAAACGGGCAGTGTGAGGCTGCCCCACACCCGACATCTTGTGCCCAATAAACAGTGCTGGAATCCACAAGGGGTCTCTGCTGAGGCACGGGGTTGGCATACGTGGGGGTGGACTGCGGAGAGAGCTTTCCTTGTAAGGCTGGCTGACCTTGCCCCCACTGCTCTGGGACCAGCCCAGCTATTCCCAGACCCACCTGATGCTGTGCTTGGCCAGGGCCACACCCGTGGGAACGTGTGGGAGCACCTTCACCAGAACTGGGGCAGGGAGCCCCCAACTTCCCTAGTGTAACCCTGTCTCAGCTCTCACCTGGGGGGGCCTCATGGACCAAGGGGTTCATGGGAAAAACACCCACCCCCTAAGACTCTTAACAGCCCTCCGTTTATCACAGCCAGGGATGCAACCCCTGATGTTTCCAGGGGTTGTGATTTGACGAGGATGAACTGGAGAGCTCTGGGGCCTCTGCCTGGCCCAGCGCTGGCCACACTACCAGCTCTGGGAATTGTTGCCACTCATGGACCCACCTAGCACTGCCAAGTCAGGGTTTTCCAATTTTCAAATCAGATATTTGAAATCTCCCATTTTTAAAGTGTGGCACCTAGTGGCACACACTGGGTGGCCCCCCAAAAACAGGTGTGTGCACTTGGTCAGGCTGCAATCTCTGCTTTATGGACACAAGATCCTAAATTGTTGATATTTGTTATAACTGGATAAAGGAAGAATCTGGAAAATGAGACACCCCCACTCCCAGTGGTGGCTGCCCTTGGTAATGCAGAGACAGGGTACCTGTGGGACCTACCTGGCCCTGAGCGGGCAGGCGTCTTGCACTACCCAAGAGGGCTCCGCTGATGAAGTGCCGGGTCAGCACGCTGCCACGGTAGGATCAGTGAACTTCAGGACCCTATGCGTTTCCTTACACGGAGTGAGTAAGGCCGTCTCCCTAAGCCCCCAGGACTTGGTTCTGAAGCCAACACAACTGCCTCCGGCATCTGGCAGATGCTCAGAGTGGGCGAAAAGGAAGCAAATCAGGTTTTAATTAAGAATACATGCCCCTCACATTCGTCTCATAGTAAAAAAAAGTCAGAGTGGATTGACAGACTCAAGGCATGAACAAGGCACGTCCTGGGACCCTCCCCTCCTGCCACAGGAAGGACAGCTGCTTGGGGTGGGAGGAAAGAGGGTTTGGGATCAGGGTTGGGCCCATGAGGATTGTGTGAGGTTGTCTCAAGTCCTTCTCTAACTCTTGAACAGCCAAAAACTTGGCGAGCCTCAGGTGGGGGTCTGGGGAAGGAGGGGAGCTCCTCTCACCATCTGGCAGGTCCACCAGGCCTCTAAGGCATGGACTGGTGTGCACATGTCCCGCACTCCAGACGCAGGGTGAGGAGCAGTTGGAGGGGCTCACATGGGGCCCCTGACTCCGGGAAAGTGAAAGTGGGCAAAAGGCAGAAGAAATTAAGCCCCTTTCTTCCAAAACTTCCCTCCAAAAAATCTAAATGGGTTAGTGTGATAAAGATCCAGAGGGTGTTGGACATGAGCCCAGTTCAGAACCCATCTGTTGGGCACCTCAAGGCTCAGAAACAGTTTCTAGGCCCTGGCCTGGGCCGCCTGTGATTGCAGGTATGGAAGCTGAGTTATGTAGAATGAGTGTCAGGAAGGTGAGTGCTCAGAGAATGTGACCTTCAGAGAAGGAACCTCGAGACCTAACCCCTCAGTCCTAGCCCCTCTACCACCAGTACCAGCACCAACACCTGAGTCCACTGCCCACAGCACCTGGCTGCTTGGTCTCTGGGAACACAGCAGTGGCAGCAAAGTGCCCTTGGCTCTCCCAGCTGCAAGGTCAGTCTCTCAAGCTCCTCCCAGAGATGCTGGTTGCTTGGGGCACAGCCTTCGGCTCCAAGCTCAGCGCGCAATCCTGCCTGGGACGTGCTGTGCGTGCTGCCTGAAGCCTTAAAGAAAATAGAGATGGCGGCATCAAGATGCAGGAGGGCCAGATGCGTGGCCAGTAAGGCCTGGGAGGGGCTCAGACCTCTGGGGAGTCTGGGAGAGGCCGCCAGCGGTCTAGCTTTTAATCTCAGAGCAGAGTCAGGTGTTTGTCCCAGAGGGAGGCTCCTCCCCAGCCCGCGAGAGTCTTGGAGGGAGAGTCCTGGGCGAAGGCAGGCTGGTTCCTGCTTAAGGCGTTTGGCCCTGAGGAAGAGAGCGCTTCTCCACTGTCGGCACACTGAGCCAGCCCTGCACTCCAGACCGCTTCTCCAGCCTTTCTGGTAGGCTACAGGGCCCAGGCCGCTTACACTGGGTCCCTGGGTGCTAGTTCAGCTGGTCATACCCTGGTTTCTTTCTGTACAAGCAGAAGTGCTGGACGAAGAAGACAATATCGAAGAAGATGGAGAAGATGCCGAGTCCAAACTTGGTTGGGTCTCCAAAGATCAGGGTCCACTGGTCTGTTGACAGCCAGAGGGGACAGAATCCAGCTTTAGGTTGGCAGCTCCTGAAGCAGCTGAGCACGTGGGGCTGTGGGGAGTGAGGGGTCCTCATCTGCCCAGGAAACCACAAACCCTCCAGCTGCGAGTCACCTTGGGGGCTGGGATCGGCTTGGATTCCCAGGCTGCAGGGCTGGAGGGGCGGGGGGAGGTCTCCCAGGAGGCCTGGCCCCACCCCGAGCCTCCAGCCCACCAGGTGGCTGACTCACCGTTGTTGTAGGACTGGAGGAACATCTGGAGGAGGCTGAAGCTGCCCCCAGTGAAGTCCAGAAGCACGTTGCCAATGCTCCAGCCCTCTGTGCTTTTGTAGTAGAAGTTCATGTAGGCCTGGGCCAGACGCACAGACAGACAGATGGAGGGTGGTGAGGGGGCTGAGTGGCTGCCTCATGCACCCTGTGACTTCCACTCCAAACAAGAGCGGCTCTAATTCCTCCTACTCATGTGCTCAGGCCTCAGCTCCAAGGAACACAGTGACCTTTGGGTTCTGAGGGAGGACCGGTTTGGGTGGGTCTCATTTGCAGGCACAGCAAACAGCCTTCCTCCTCCCATCCCTGCACCTCACAACTCCAAGGAGGGAGGGTGAGAGGCTGCTTCTCCACCTCCTTCATCCCTCCCTGTTCTGGGACAAAGCCCTATCCTGGTTTTCCAGCAACTCTGATTTTTCTTCTCACCTCCAATGAAGATTCTCCCCAAACTCAGCCTGGACTTCACACTGTGCTTATGAACACAGGCTGGGAGCTCGACTGCCTGGTTTGAAATCCCAGCTCCACCACTGGGGCTGTTACCTCGGGAGAGTTACTTGAGTTCTCCTAGCCTGTTTCCCCATCTGTAGAGTGGACTTAACTCCTACCTCAGTCCTGGCTGGGCTCTGGGGCCTCTGTCTCAGGCTTCCCAGGTCTCGTGAGCAGGTCCACCTGGACATCCCCGCTCTCCCTGCTGCCAGTGCCCCACATCCTTCCTCCAAAACCAGCACCCTCTGGGCTTCTCTGACTGGTGCGACCTCCCTTCCTACCACCGGGAGGGACAGCTGGGCCTCTGTAGTGGTCTTCTCCCAGTCCACCACCAGTCAGTCCCCTTCTTCGTCCTCTCCTACCCTCTTCATACTTGCTGCCCCCTCTCTAGTCTTGGAGAATTCCCAACATCTCCAGGTGGGGCTCCTGCCTCCCGGGTTTCCCAGCCCGAAGCCTTCCCACACTCAGAGACCGAGACGCCCCTTCCCTCAGGCCCTGCCCCCGCTTCCTAGCCTCAGCACTGCTTAGCCAGCAAGGTCTCTTCACTGTGCCCCACGCTCTCCCACCTGTGCCTTTGTGCAGGCTGCCCCCAGCTGGGAACACCCCCTCCTCCCGGGTCCACAGAGTTAAGTCCTGTCATCCGTAAGGGTTGGCTCTGTTTCTGCACCCTCCAGGAGACCGGCCCTAACTGGCCAAATGCTCTCCTTCCTGAGCCCACAGAACACAAGGTTCCATATGCTGGGGAAGCTGAAAAGGAGGCTTCTCCACTGGGAGTGGGGTGAGTTAAACGAGGCCCTAGATTCACAAGTAGAGTCTGCAGTTGGTACCTATTTCAGACCTGAGCCTGTCCTGGGCCCTTCTGGCTAAGGGGGAAGATGTGTTCAATTGGTAAGTGCCTGGTCTGAGTAGGACTGTCTGACTACTCGAGGGAGGGCGCTGAAGGCCCACAAGGCAGACCCTGGATGGGACCTCCGAGGAAAACATCTCTGGATGGGAGGTGGAGGTCACAGTGGTGGGCCCCCTCCTCCCACCTAATCTTTTGGGAGTATTCTGCTCGTCAGAGAAGTTGGTTGTGGTAATGGGGGCAGAACTGAAGTCATTAGGAAAGCTGGGACAGAGGGACAGGGAGGGACCTGCACAACCCCACTCTCAGAGCCGAGTGTGAGCTCAGGGAATCTCCGCTGTGCTTCTCGCCTCACGGAAGAGCAGGCGGTGGTGATGGCCGGCTCTCTGGGCGGCCCCGCTCCTGCCGGGCTCGTGGCTTCCACTGTAGCTTTCCATCCACGTCCTCACCCTGGCCAGAAGCTGCCCCCGGAGCAGGGCCCGGCTCTGCATCTCACCCCTCTCACACTAACGACCACGTGGGAAGTATGGAAGGCAGTGGAGGTACCTGTGGAAAATACTTGACCAGTGTCACTGCAAGCTTGATGTAGGAGAAGCAGAAGAGAAACTGCAACCAGGTGGTTGCCCCGACTGCGGCCATAATCATGGTGACGAGGGCAAAGAGCCACGAGAGCACGAGGAAGCCGATGGCAGGCCAGGACACACGCTGGTTGCCTCGCTGAGGATGAGACGGAGAGGGGAAGTGGGGGGAGGTCGAGATGGGGGGAAGAGAGCCCAGCACCCCCAGCACCAACCACGCCCTTGTCACTATCAGGGTCTCTAGTTGAGACCTTCTTGGACTTTCCAGAGCCCACCAGGAGTGAAGGATGCTGGGACATAGCCCCCAACATGCTGAATGCCCAGCACCTCATCCCAGCCAAGGCTCGTTCCACGACCCAGACGGAGCCGGATCATCTCTGCAATCTGTCCCCACTCCTACCTACCCCCGGGCACAGCCCCAAAGCAGGCCACCTTCATCCAGGCTTTACAGCAAAGGATAAGAAAACCTAGAAGGTTCGTGAAGGTGCGGGCCAACCAGCCCCCGCTGGCCTTGCACATGTGAAGGGAACTCTGAGGGAAGTGGTGCACCCACCGGGGAGAGAAAGGAAACGTGCCCACTAGCGATGCCCTGCAATACTAAAGGCCTAATGGTGCCCTTCCCTGTTGAGACCCCCAAAGGGCCTCCTGTAACAGGCCAAGTCCTGCTCCTCAGCCTGGCCCTCCAGAGCCCTCAGGACACTCATGGGCCTGCTCCCCGCACTGGCACCCTGAACTCTGGCCACACTCATCAGCTCATGGTTCCTCTCACTGCCGCTCAGCCTTCCCAGTTCTGTCCCCCCAGCTGCGGGTACCGCACTCTGGCCCTCTTCCCCATCGCCACAGGAACTTCACATAACCTATGGGCCGCAACTAAGCTCCATTTCCTTGATGCCCTCCCTGTCGCCCCCATCCCCCCCACCCCCTTCCCTCTGGCTGGGTCAGGACCTCCACAAGCTGCCTGTGCTCTCCCCTCCCGCTCAGCTCTCAGCCTGCTGGGGCACCACTGCCATCCTCTGTGTCCCTCACCCCAGACTTGGGGGGCTCGAGGGCTTGAGCTCACAGGGTGTTCCCTGTGCCCAGCACGGAGCCTGGCCTATTATGTGGGCCCCAGTAAGCAGGTGCTGAGCGAACGAACACATTTCCTCTCTGAGGGTTTTGGTGTCTCCTATAAAACAGTGGGTAAGGGAGGTGGGGGTAGGGGTGGGTGTTGGCCCGGGCAGCCTGAGGTGGGGTGAGTGCCAGGCTCATCTCTCACCTCGTACAGGAAGCACTGCACTAAGACAACCAGGGTGAGGGCGACCGCGTGCAGGCTGAAGAAGGCGTCGTTAGTGTCCACGGGGTTCACTCCATTTGGATATTTGAGGAAAAACTGCTCCTGTTTGGGGGGTAGGGAGAAGTGGGGAGTGAGGGGTGGCCAGGCCACTGAACAGCTTGGGCTGGGCTGTGGTGGGCGGGCAGTGCCATACCTTGAAGTATGGCACCCAGAGGAGGCCGATATTGAACACGCTGTAGGCCACAAAGCCTGTCAGGTTTAGGGACACGAAGTCAAAGCTCAGACCAACGACACTGTGGGGCAGGGAGACGGAGAGACAAAGCAGGGCAGGGGGTGAGACTGGAGGCCACTGGGGGCATGGGAGGGGACAGAGCTCTCAGAACACAAGAAGGATGACCCGGGTCCCCCAAGGAGAGCCCTGTCCTCAGATCCCTCTCCATACCACAATCGATGCCGCCCAGTCCCTCCCTCTTGGGAATGAGTTTCCTCCCTCCTTTCCTCCTGAGATGTCTCCTGCCTCCTCAAGTCTTGGCTCCAGAGGGAAGTCTGGAGGCCTCCTGCAGAGAGGAAGCATCTCCCTCTCTGGCTCCCAGCTCAGCAGCCCCCTAAGAGGTCTACGTGGCTAGGGTGGCTTGCTGCACGAAGAATCTGGGATCTGCAACCCCAGACCCACTTTGTCTTTAAGATCAAGGTGGGATGGCTTAGTCTCCAAGGCTGAAGGATCCAGCTCCGCACTGTGGCATGACTTGAAACTATTCCCTCCAGGGCTGGACAGACCATAGGCAGAGCAGATTTGGGTGGACTCCCCCCACCCAGCCCACTCTCTGCTTCACTGAGAAGGCCCATTTTGTTGCTTTCACAGGGAGGGGCTGACTTGGGCAAGAGACCAAATGCCTTGCACTGCAAGTCCCACCATAGGCTCTCAGAGCTTTCACATCAGACAACTTTCTAGAAAGAACAGGAGGAGAGAAGAGCAGAAGGGGAAAGCATGAACCCATGCTGCCCACCGCCTCACTGGAATGCCTGTCTTACGGGCCCCAAGAGAACTCACACAGAAAGCTCAGTGGGTACCTTTTCCGCCTCCAGTTCGTGATCACCTGAGGGTAGAAGGAGACGGACCAGGCCACGAAGTAGATCCAGCCAATCACCTGGTTTATGATGCTAACGACGTTACTATGGATCACCAAGAAGCGTACCCTTGGGCTAGAAAGAATTTGGCGACCAGGCTGAGCTGAGGCTGGGCTGCTTCTTTTTTTGTTTTTTTTAAATTTTTTATTTATTTTTTTCCCCCAAAGCCCCAGTAGATAGTTGTGTGTCATAGTTGCACATCCTTCTAGATGCTGTATGTGGGACGCGGCCTCAGCATGGCCAGAGAAGCGGTGCGTCGGTGCGCGCCCGGGATCGGAACCCGGGCCGCCAGCAGAGGAGCGCACGCACCTAACCACCAAGCCACGGGGCCGGCCCAAGGCTGGGCTTCTGAAAGAAACCTCCATGTGCCCACCACTGCCTCCCTTCTCATCATCTGAGGCCCCGCTTACCCGGTCTGGTTGGAATGATTTCCATGAAGAAAAACGGTAACTTGTCCAACATTTTGAGACTTCACTTGAAAAGAGGAATTTGTCACTCCGGGAGGCACCACAACCTGTTAGGAAAACTGAGTTTGATCCAGTGCCACGCAGTTATTGAGACCTTGCTGAGTGTCCAGCTCCAGGCTGTGCACTGGGGAATGGAGGGACAGATCATACAAGGTCCCTGCCTTCCGGGAGCTTCCTAACAAAAGGGAGAACCGTTGGGCCAACCAGCCAACTGGAACCCCCCTACACCTGTGTGTTAGATTCTCTGAGCAGAACGATGGCCTTGCCCTCAGGCCCTCCCCTGGCTTATCTCTGAGGGCGGGTGGGATGGCTCTCTTCCTCTCACTAGCCATGCAATCTGTGCATCAAGTCAGGCTTCAGAGAGCTGAGTGCCACAACCTGCTGTTGGAACCAACGGCTTTTCTCACCCTGCAGCAGGCCTCATTCCCTGGGGCAGGATAAGTTGTGAGAAATGGCCCTGTCTAATGAGGTGTGGTGTTCACCATGGGATGAGACGAGACTCCCTTCCCACACAGGGCCTTTCAGGTAGACACTCTTTATCTGATCGTGCTTCAACACTGTTTGCTTGCTGGGGGCTCAGAGCCCACCTGCAGCCCCTTTCCACAGCCACACAGGGCCTCAAAACGTGCCTCTTGGTTATCAACTTCATCCCCACCTTCATCTTGTCGGTTTTTTTAAAAAACCCGTTTACTCTCTATATTACTGCCTCTCCTATTGATGTTATCTAGTTTATTGGTAATTGGCTCAGATCCTTGGTAAGGGGGAAGCAGGGAATATATTAACAGATAAATGCATGCGGGCTATGAATAGTTACAGCTATGATACCAGACAGCCTCTGGCACTGGCTTTTGGAAATAATGTTCAACCAAGGGAATCTCAGAACAGTGCTTCACAAACTTTCACGTGGGCCCAAATCATCCGGGGATCTTGCTCAAATGCAGACTCTGAATCAGTAGATCTGGGATGGGGCCCAAGATTCTGCATTTCTTAAAGGTTTTCAAGCAATGACAATGCTGCTGGTCCATGAACGCCCTTTGAGTAGCAAAGTCTTAGAAAACCATCTTAAGAATTTCTTCTACATTCTCAGAACAATTTTTGCCTCAGATTTCTTACCGTCACCTCCCTAATTCCATCTACATGGCATAAAATGCTCATCCTCAAAGAGACCAACAAAGCCAAAATCACAGATTTCTAGAATGATGGGACAGGTGCAGCCCACAGTATAAAAACAAGATGGCCTATTTCCACAAGCACTTCATTAAAATGTGTTTTGTTATCCAGCAGTTCCCCACCCATCAGTTAAGATTCATTACTTACTTCATCGGGAAATTCAAGGATAGTAATATTTTTTGAACGAAATGTGATCTCAAAAGTGATCGCCAAGGTTGTATTTAACGGATGCCTGTGGAGGACAAGAGTCTGATTACTGCTGGAAGTAGGACCCTGGGATTGCAACCAACCCTCTGGATTTCACATTGGGCCTGTAATTTCTCAAGCAATTTGGGTTAGGAAGTGCTATGTGCTCGGCCCTGAGGGGTGGAGAGGGGGGTCCCTGCTCTTTAGAGAGTTTTCTATCTTTATCAGGAGACAAGACGTTCCATCGTCCCATGGGGGCTGGGTGAGAACATGAGAAGGTGGGAAACTAGCCGTGAATGCCAAAGGAGCGTCCAGAGGCCAACAGGACCACAGCATCTGCTCTGGTGAGAAAGGCTTCTGAGAGGTCAGGTGCGAGCAGGGAGCAGCCCATAGAGGCCTCGAGTCTGCGCTTGGAGGCTTAGCGTTAATTTGGAAGGGAGCGGAAAGCCACTAAGGACTCAGGAGAAGGGAGAGTTGTTGTGAGGGGATGACGTGTCAGATATACAAGGTGTCACTGTGCAGAGGTGGCAGAGGCTGGGAATGGAATGCGGGTCTGTTAGGGAGCCTTGGTATCAAACTTTGGTTTGAGATCAGATTTCCCAAGAGAGGTGAGGAAAAGGGAGAAGGTTAAAGAGAAAAGGACAGGGTTCCGATCTTTATCTTGGGGAATCCTCGTGGCTGGGAGGCAAGAGTAGGACAAGCAGTGAAGGATACAGAAGAAGAGGCAGGCTCCCTGGCACAGCCTGGATGAGGTTGGTGCCTACATGCCTGAACCAGCAGAGGTCAGCAAGAAAGACTCTCAGACAAGGCCCTGCACGAGTGTCGTGTGAACGGGATCCAGCTGGCTCAGTCACTTCTGCTTTTGGACAGGATCTCAGAAGTGCTGACCAGCGGCTCAGCTCCTTGCCCTCTGACCTCCAGGGCTCTCCTCAAATATTTAGAGCCTTGGAAAGGACCACTTTGAAGTCTGGCATCAACCGCTGGTCACTCAAGGACTTTTCTTAGCTGAGGAACAGGCTCACATCTCTGGGGAGAAGCCCCTTCCTCCTCCTCCCACCAGAAACAAGGATTCAGCGGTTGTGGGGAGAGACTTTGGGACCTCAGTCTGCAGCCCAGGGCTAGTGTGGTCTTAAAGTGAAGAGGCAAGAGCATCACATTTGAAACATGAACAGATGGAGCCAGAGGTCGCCCTGACCCAGCCACAGGGTTAATGCTGGGCTGAGGACAGAGCTGGGCCTGGAACTTACTGAAGGGCAATGCTGACGTTGGCTGAGCTTCCATTTTCCAGCTTCACGGTGGGAGGAACAGTGAGGCTGACTGTCGACTCTGGAAGGACCCAAATCAACGACATGAGTCATTAGGTCAGAGAACTCTGAGAACCCTTGGGGGCCAGGCCCACGAGGAGAAACTGGGACGGGGGCCCCTGGCATCCGAACTCATGAGCTCTGACTCATGACAACCGCCATCTTCTAGATGAAGACACAGGGATTTTGAAAGGCCAAGTGATGGGCCTGGAAACCCAAGCCCTCCTTATGCTCTTCCCCTCCTGCTGGCAGAGACAGACAGAGCGAGACACAGGCCCGAGCAGCAGACGCTGTAGCTTCCCCCTCCTCCCCCTGACAGGCTCTGAGGGTCTGTGGCTGAGTTACCCAGAGATAGTTTTAGAACCACACAGCCCATATATTGTCACAAAGGAATTCAAGCCACCATCTGGGATTGGAAAACGTGGACTTGACCCATCCCGTCAGCTGGAAATCACACAGGTCTCCTCAGTTCAGGGAGCTAAAGTGGCCCTGCAGAACTGGTCCAGCCCTGCCCGTACCCTCAGAGACACACGGGGCCCAGCTAACCTGTCTCTAAAGAACTGCTTTTGGGCTCCGGTACTCACTCAGCTCAACCCATTCCCTGATTCCCCTCCTGAGGCTGACTCTGCTGGGGGCTGGGGCTCTCTGGGGGACAATGCACACTGTTTCACTATCAGGGATTTCTTTTTAGCATTAAAGTGCTAATTCAGGATGAGGTAGACAAACAGGCCTCCGGGGTGAGGGAGGAAGCAGGTCTGGGGGGCCAAATACCCCAGAGCAGAGTTGGCCTCTCTGTGACCTCTTCCTGTGTCCTCTGGGCAACCTGCCCCCCTTCCCAGGTGTACTCAAAGCCCCTGCCCACCTCACCTCCCTTACCTCAAGGCCTTCAGGGTTATACACAGCCCAAGGTGTGATGGTGACTCCAGACTGGGACAGGAGGGGGCCCACCAGGGGAAAGCAGGCACTCAATCTGATGAAGATGGTCCTGGGGAGGGTAGGGGATGCAGGCAGGGCCAGGTCTCCCTCTTCCCCGGCCCCTCAAAGGCAGATGAAGAACTGAAATTTTAGACGCTCGCATTGGAAGGGAACTTGCAAGTCCTCTAATTCAACCTGCAGTGCCTGAGTCCCCTCTTCAATCCTCCTGCCTGGAGATCCCCAAGGAATAGTAACCTCATCTCCTCCAAGGGAATTGGCCAGCCTGGAACTTGTACTCCTGGGCCTGGCTCTGCTACCTGGGGCCTCTCAGAGCCTATCGGAGGCCTTCTGCATGCTAGCCCTGCATGTGAGTGCACATGCAGGCTCGGTCCCCTGTGTCTGCAAGTCTCCAAGCTGACTCCCACAGTTTGAAGTCTCCAATAGTCCTGTCCTGTGTTGTGTCCATCTGCGTCCCACCCCCCACCCTCCGTAGGATGGTTTCTCCCTTACGTGTAGCCTCAGGGCACAGCTGGGAGGTAGGAGGACTTAAGGTCCCTACTATTACTTTCTACCTAGAGCTGAGGACCACACCGGATAAGCAAGACACTGACAAGCTGGTGCCCAGGACAGCGATACCAAAAGCGATACCAGGCTGCCACCCACACCTCTGGGTCCCTAGGGCTCTGCTGGGACTGTGGCCAGGGTGAGTGGGAGATCCACATGGCCTTTGCTCTCCCACAGACTCTGCATTTTAAAAGAGGAGGCTGTGAACTCGCAAAGAACCAGATCAGGCAATGTTTACATGCCCCTCACTCAGCGCCACCGCAGATGGCAGGGCTCAGCAGCTGAGAGACCAGGCTCTGAAGTCACACAGTTCCATCCTGGCTCTGTCACTTTCTAGTGAAATGGGGGCCAACCTGCTTTAACTATACTCAGTTGTTTGCAAAAGTAGTTAGATAATGCCTTACCAAAACCCACAGTATAGATAACATCTCTGAGGCTTTATGGTAACAGGTGGAGTGCTTGCGTTTTTCAGGAACTGAAAGTTGACGTCTTGTCCAGTTGAGGCCGGTTGAGACCACCAATCCATCAACTAGGCCTGCGCAAATGCTCGACAAGTGACCTTTTTGACGTCAAGGAGCTAAAAACTCCACCCTCAGATCATGGTAACGCTGTCATTTTGTGACCATGCATCCTATGAAGAGGCATGAAGCTTGACTACGCTTGTGCCAATCATCAATTACCTCACCTCTCCTCATCTTCAATCATCTACCTCCACATTTCAGACCACCTTGCCCCTTACCCCATAAATACCCGAGTCCCCATTTTCGGGGAGGCCCGATCTGAGATCAATTCTCCCGCCTCCTCACTTGGCCGCCTTGTGAGTAAATCCTTTCTTTTTGCAAACTCGTCGTCTCAGTGACTGGCATGATCATGTGGCTGACAAAACAAACCTGGTTTGATAACACTAGCTGTGTGACCACAGGTAAGGTACTTAACCTCTCCGAGCCTCTGCTTCCTCACTGTAAAATGGGGAGAATAGGACTACCTATCTCACAGGGGCCTGTGAAGATAAAGTGTGGCAATGTATGTGACACACTTTCCATAGGATCTAAGTGCAAAATAATTGCTGATGACTATTCTCATCATCACATAAGCACTGCAGGACATTTTTTAGCCCAAGATGGGAGAGTTAGGAAGCTGGCATCATATCCTGGGAAAGCACATTTTAAAGTCTGCCCCCAGGCAAGAGACCTTGGATAAGACATCAGAATTACCTAATGAAGTCTTAATGAGACTGCCCCAAGTTTCCCTTAAGGAGAGTTTTTTTTTTTGAGGAAGATTAGCCCTGAGCTAACATCT